AACAATTTCGTTATCGGTATTATAATAAATAATATATTTGTTGCTACTCTTCAATGTCTGAGATAAATGGTCATTTCTGAATGAATACGGACATTTCACCTCCACACTGGAATCATCTCCTACTAATCCGTCAGGACTGACCCCCAAAATCCTGATTTTGTTAGCCAAATACCTGTTGATTGTATATCCAAGTTCAATGAAGTTTTGAGAAATTCTATTCCATTTTTTTTCACGAGTTCTTCCCCACTGAATGGCTTTTATTCCATCCAAATTATAAGCTCCTGAAACCAAAATAATTTTGTTAGAAAGACATTTTTCTATTTGAGAAAAATCACTTCTCATCATTGAAAAAACAGTAGAAATGAAGTCTCACCAATTAGTGATTTGAATAAGCTCCAGGATGAAATGACTGCCCCAAAGTTGCTGGCTGTAAGTCGAAACTTCCTCACGAGGTACCACTTTTCATTATGAGTTTGTCCTTTTGTAAGTATTGATATTTTTTGTATCGTTTCATCGTCAACAGTACATTTTTGTTTGAAAGTCTATTGGATTTGTAGCCTCTGTGAACTCATTTGATGATACAATATCTTCAATAATCGGTAGGTCACAATTAACAGATTCCTCATCTTTTTCTTGCAGAAGCCAAGTAAAATCCACAGTGTTACCAAAATCATTCAGCTTCTTTTTCAAATTATTCTTTTGTTCTTCGGTTATCTACTACTTGTCTGATAGCTGAATATGGTTTTGGGGGATATAGTTCTTCAGCTGTTTTTACTGGTGCATTTTTCGATTTTGGCACATTTCAGGTACATTCCTTGTCCGTCACAAATGTATTGTAGTGTCCAAAAAGAGCTAATGTGGCGATATGATGACATTTTATTCCTCTAGGACAAGCACAATTTGCAGATATGATATCTACAGATTTATTCAGTGAAATCTGCAATAAAGATACTGTTCAGTAAAAATGGAAAACTTATACGTGACATACGACTCACTTCAACATGATAGAATTTATCTTTCATGCTTGCTTGAACTTCTCCTCTTATCATCATCAAGTCAGCATCAGATTGCATACTTTTCACATGATTCGATTCCAATGCATTTTCAGCCTTTCTCATGATTTTATTATCATTGTCGAGGAATTCATTTATATGTAGAGGATACCTTTAAAACATGTTTTGAAGCCATTCTATATCTGAAACAATAGATGTTAAGTAACTACATGTAACTATATTTCAATTGAAAAAATAACATAACCTCAACAAACAACAATTCTTGAATTTCCATTAAAAACCTTACCTACCTATGGGGATTTTTTTCAAAATATGTTAAACTGACACCAAATCAAAAATGTACGCGAATATCCTTATTAGCAATGAAAGCACATAAAATAAACATATAAACAATTTCTTATGGCGTTTTAACATGTAAAATCAATTTGTTTGGAAAAGTTCGCTAAGCTCCGCCTATTTGTGACGTCAGGACTTAGGAAGTCTATTGGGAATTGATGATTTTCGAACTTTATATAACAAAAAATAGCTTACAGATTTCTCACTGATTTTTTTTAATATCTCTTTCTTAATTATATAGAAACGAACAATTTTTTTTAATTTACTACAAATCAAGCATACGCCATCATGAACTGTGGAAGTAGACTACAAAGTCTACTAGATGAATTTCAAACGAGACTCAACCTCTGACGGAAGCTAGAAACTCTTTCGAAGGTTCGAAATAGATGAACATTTCAATCTAGCAGAACACTATTATAATATTCATGCAGTCGTTGTTCACTGTGGTTCTGGCGTTGAATTCGGTCATTATTACGCCTTGGTCAAAGACGTAACGGACTGGTTCAAGTTTGACGATAGTCATGTCACGAAGTGTTCTGGCGGTGTATTGAATCTATTGGAGTCTCTGGAGACACCCTACATTTTATTTTATGATAGAGAGGACATTGGCAGATCAAGATCTTCAGACGATGTGGTGCTGCAGGTTTTTCCGAGTTTTCCTACAGCTGAAAAAGCAAATACGCCACTGGAATTAATGAAGTCGCTCCGGAGCGCCAATTAATTTTTATTGTTGTTTTTATTTTAATCTTTGTTTTATAATTTGGTTATGATAGACTAATTTATTTTGATTTTTGTGTATTATGTTTAGATAAAGTATATTAATTATGCTCAGACTAGAAAGTTCGTTCTTCCTGAAATTCAATTTTGGTATTTCCTATTATCGTTGGTACTGTCTTGAAACGCGACAACTGGGTACTTTATGGTGATTTAAAGAAAAAAACGGGTTTTCTACATTGACCCAAGGTATATCAGTTTTTCGAAGGATGCTAAAAACTACAAAAACAGGTTTAAATCAATCATAACAACTTTGACTTACCACCTAAAATTCACTGAAGAAGGACTGAAGAATTTTACAAATGAAAGAGATGGATACAACTGCGGTGTTTATGTATCTTACTTTTTTATGCAGCTTTTGAGAGGAAACCCTTCGAATCGGCAAACATGGATGATTTCAGAATAGTTTTAATGAATAATGTTTTAGAACATTCTGACTATGATCACAGAAATATTTGGCTCATTTTCGGAAATGAAACCGTTGAGGTGTCTTACAATAATTGCAGAATATGTAATAGAAAATTTCATGATGTTCGTTCCCCAATAGAGAACAGTGAATGTTTGCTTTGTAGAAATTTCAGAACTATTTCTGGCCACTGATCACAAAGATATTCAGTTTTTTATTGACCAGATGAAGATATTATTGATTCATCAGTGAAATGTCATTATATTTTAATTTTTTCCCAAAAGTTCAAGAAAGTATATGTTTTATTTGATCGGAGTTACTATTTTCTTATACTGTTGAAATATTTTTTTCAAATATCTGCTAATTATTTATTTTTCTATCAATATGGTTACGTTTTATTAATTATGTAAAATCTGTAATCGTTTATTTATTATTATGGAAATATATTTGACAAATATTTTGACTTGTTGACATTTATTAAAAGTGGATTAGGCCTCATGGGAAAACCAACCGCATTAAAAAAACGAGCCTGGTACTTTACCGCAAGGTGGTGGGGAAAAAAATAAATTAACAAGATCTATAATAATAGTTTTGAATCATACTATTTTTTAACTTAGGAAAACAGTATCGGGGTTACAGAATATGCAAAATAGGAAGAAATCCAGGTTTCCTTATTGTTTACAGATGAAGCTTGTTTTTCTCGCAACTCAATTATTAACTTCCACAACAATTCACTTTTGGGCCGAAAACAATCCACACGCCTTGATAGAAAATAATTTTCAAGAACAGTTTTCTTTCAATATTTGGGTTGGAATTGTCGGTGACTATCTCATTGGGCCTCACTTCCTTCCACCTAGACTTGATGGAGAAAAATACCGAAGATTTTTAGAATTTGTTTTACACGATGGTGCTCCACCACACTTTAGTGTAGTAGCACGGCAATTTTTGGATGAAAATCACCATAATCGCTGGATTGGGAGAGCAGGCCCACACCCATGGCCACCTCACTCGCCCGAAATGAATCCCTCAGATTATTTTCTCTGGGGACACCTTAAAGCGTTGGTATACAAAACTGATATTCAAAATGAAGAGAATTTACGGAATAAAATCATTAATTCATGTGACATAATAAAAAATACGCCAGGTATTTTCAGAAGAGTACGAAATTCAATGACGCGGCGGCTAGAGGGTTGTATTGAAGCCGAAGGAGGCCATTTCCAACACTTAATTTAGTGCAATTCGTTAGTCTAGATGTTGATGTTATTTAATATTTGTTGTTATTGTTACATAATTACTAATGAAAAATTGTAAAAATAATAATTTCCAAAAGAAACTTTCAATTCCCTATATTATTCATTGTGAGGTCCAGGGATATGCAATTAGGTCGACATTTTTTTTTAAAAAGTAAGCAAGATACGAAAAAAANATTGTGAGGTCCAGGGATATGCAATTAGGTCGACATTTTTTTTAAAAAAGTAAGCAAGATACGAAAAAAAATTCAGGAGACAAAAAAGTTGTATTTTCAATTGCTCGTATCCAAAGAAATAATAAAAATTGCACAAAAGTAAGTGGGGTACATTTTTAAGTCAAACATATTCGTTCAAATTCCGCTCGAGACGCCACTGGACTTGATAAATTGAATCACGTTCGGGCTAAATTAGCACCTTAATATAAATACCATTGCCAAATAACAACAAAATCAGGTTGAGGATATTTAAGATATTTACGAATAACTTTTTTTTTATTTTTATTTTATCACCCTGTATCTTGAGAACGAAAGATTTGCAGACCCATGTTTATATGAACATTTCGTCTTAAAGTTACCTAAAGAATCGCCTGTTAAATGTATGGTACATACTTAATTAACACCCTGTATGTAGGATTTTGAGGTTATCTTCATTTATCTTGTGGTTTGATTCTTGAACATGTTCGTACATTGCAATTTTTTTTGTACGAACATCTTCAAGAATCAAATCACAAGATAAATGAAGATAACCTCAAAATCCTACATATATGCAATAAAGGGAGAAAAATGAATCTGTTGGAGGCTATGGAAATTAACAAATCAATTAAAAACCAGAAACATATACCCCTAAACGAGCAACTTGATTTATGTAGGTCTCCTCTCTTGAATTCATGAGTTTAACAATCCCTAGAATTTTCAGGATGGTATTTCAAGTTGGCATCCTGTCTCTCAAATACATGTCCTTGCAGCATACCTGAAAATTCTAAATACGATGGTTCAAAATTCAGAGTTCAGTTTTATACTTGATAATGGGATCAAACCCGAAACCGGTCGTATAAATAAAATTTTCCAGTTTAGACAAAATTGTTTTTATTCATTTCATTTAAGTGATCATAAATTACCATAAAGTAAACAAGTCATCAATCACACATAATAGTCAATATACACTAGCATAAAATTTTTGGCTGAAACATGCAACAAAAAATTTATAGATATATATTTATTTCAGGAATGACTCCTTTATTGGCCGCAGCAGTGACAGGACATAGTCATATAGTAGAATATTTAATTAAAATTCCACATCTCGTATCGAGAAAGGAAAGAATCGACGCTTTAGAATTATTAGGAGCAACTTGTGTTGACAAAAAACGTGATATGATGGGTGCTCTAGAATTATGGAAACGTGCATTGCATGATAGGTGAGTTTCAGTATTTTTTTTAAATATTGAATAGCAGGAAACTTTATTTAATTTTGATAGAATATATTCATTTTGGAATTTTGAAAATTTGGACTTTCATTGTACAAAAGGATTAAAAGATTCGAATCCTGAAAGTGGAAAAATGGTTGAAAATTGATTTTTTTTGGTAAAATTTTATTAAAATTGTCTCTCTAACTTGGAGTTGGAATTGGATATATGGGTGGATGGTGAGGATCCCATCGTTAGTCCATCTATTTGTTTATAAATTTTTCCTTCAGATTCGAAATATATTCGAAACTCAACTACCTGGACATAACCATCGAATATAACCACAACAAAACACAATTTCAAATGTCAATATCAACACAAACAAGATCCACCATACCCGCAAGTTCAAACCACCCACTATCACACAAAATGGCTGCTTATATTGCATTCATATACAGAATGTTAAGGATACCACTTAGCGATGAAGCCCGGAACAAGGAACGGAAAATCATATACCAAATAGTGAACAAGAACAGATACACCCAAAAGACAATAGATAAATTACAAAATAGAATCAAAAAAAAATACAGAACAAGAATGAAACCACTCCAACAGATAAAACAATACAACAATATAAACAAACCAAAAAACTAACAAACATCTTCAAACCCCTGAACATCAACATCACATACAAGCAAAACACGAAATAACACAGAAAATAAACAGCTTTGAAAAAGAAGAAGACAAAAACCTAAACGGGGTGTACAGCATACAATGCTCGGACAGCAGCAAATCTATCTGATCCAAAGGTACGATGAGCACAAAAAGGCATACTTAAACCCAATAATATATCAATTAAACCTCGCAACACACGCCATACAAAACAAACATAATTTCACCCCACCATTAAAGCCATTAAACAAGTTAATAAGGAGAACTGTATGGACATCTGGGAAACAGTAAACATCCATAAATTTAACAGTCATAAACCTAAGTGCGTGGGCTTACACTCACCCTCCCTACTCTACAGATACAGAATATCTAATCAGTTCAGAGGTGACGCTCTGTTGTGGAGCAAAGCATGTTTTGACACATTTCAGTATTTTGAAACATTCAAAGTTATTTTAAACAATTTGAACCAGGATAGCTAGTACCAGAATGTATCTTCCGCAATAAAGTCGGAAGCAAAAAAGTTCCTATGATTATTCGAAGGCCCTTATAAAGTGAAAAAAATCTGTTGGTTCATTTACCTATGTTTTAGAGTACTTGAGTTTAAGGAAAGAGAGGGGTACTTTCAATGCGATGCACTTGAAACCATTTCATTCTTAAGAGTCTTCAATTATATGACACTCTCACCGAAGACTCGGAGGGGCGAGTGTGACAGAATCACTTTGTATTCAGTTATTTATTGTCTTGAGCTGTTCATAAAAGACTCCTTTCAAATATTATGATTCAGTTGATACACTGACCCGTTGAGATTTTATTGAACTGAATTTATGCTGTAGCGTAATTATATTAACTCAACTTGTAAAAAAATTGTTTTAAATTTATTCAACTCAATAAATTCTACCTTTCACTTCACTGATCTTGTTTGCCCGAACCGACATCGGAACACAAGAGAATATCTAGGTCCATATAAATTCAAAGGGTAGTTAAATTCAAATAACGAACATGTGCGTCGCAGCGGTACATTGAATGGAATCAACGATAAAATTGCAAAATTATATTATTTGAAATTTTGAACAAATATAGTAACTATTTCAGTTTTTTTTTTCACATTATCTATAAGTGATGAATAGAAGTCGATAAATGTAACAAATAAACGTTATTGTATTTTTCAATAATTCATTTGAGAAGAAAAAAATTGAACAATATGAAAGAAAATGACAGAGTTCCGAATGAATGAAAAGTGTACATAATAGTTGTTCTACTTTCTTGAATAGGATGTATTGCCTTCCCTAGCCCATTTTCAGGCTTCCACTCTTCTACCCTTGCTGTCGATAAGGTTGTTAATAACTTGCTGGGGAACATTGTTCCTCTTTTCCAAAATAGCATTTTGAAGCTGTTTTATTTGCTGGATTTTGCTTTTTATATACTGGGGTGACTTTCCGATTTTCAATAAAGATGGAAAACATCTACAAGTGAAAGAGAGATCAACTAGATAAGATAGAGGCGAAATAATATGACGTAACACCTTCTTTAAAATAAATGACGGAATTTCATCTGGCCCCGACGAGGCTTTATTCTGCAATTTATTCGATATCAACTGTAATAATGCAGGTTCTGAAAAGGGTGCTAGAAATAGGGACTCATTGAACCCAGTTATTTTAGGTTCAGGAAGTCGAGCTGCCCTTAAAGGCATATGTTCACTGAGAAGTTTGATTTGCATATTTGTGAAAAATTCATTGAATAAATTACTGATTCTCTCTGGGTCTTCAATAGATCAATTTTCATGCGAGATAGAGATATTATCAAAGGAATGTTTTCTCGTACAATTAGTCAAAATATTTGCATTAAATATTTTACTTCGGTAGTAGGAGCGCTTAGTTTCTGTTAATAACAATTCATGTTGCTTCTTTGCAGATGCACAAGCTTCGTTCAGGACGAAAAAACTACATTTCAATAGAAATAAATTCTTCATTTTGATGCTCGACTTCCTAACATAATCATCAATCCACAATTTATTGGAATTTTTTGAACCATAATGCTTTTTGAGCGGAAAACAAATGTTGAAGTGATAAACAAAAATGTCGTTGAAATTATTATATGCGTCTTCGACATTGGAAAAATTGTACACGTCATTCCAAGACTCTCTCTCTATAATGATTGAATGAAACTATTCGCGTTATTAACACTGAAACTTTTGCGGGGTTGTGTTACCTCCCTCTTTAGTGGTGAGACAGTCTCAACATATTTAAATAATACAATTCGATGATCAGAAATCGTATTATCCAGAACACATACAGTACGGTTGAATATATTAGTATAGATTTGACCTATAATGGTTTCAGAATGGGAAGTTATGCGTAGTGGCCACTCGACCACCTGACGTAAATCAAAACCTGACAAAAGAGTTGTCAAACTACGATAGGCATCAGCATCCCTAGAGTTTTCAGTTGCATCAATATTAAAATCTTCTGTTAGAATAATATTTTTACCAGGCACATAAATAAAATCTAACACACTCATCAAATTTTCACAAAAAATATTAAAATTTTCTTCCGGAGATGTGTAACAGACTAGTACCACAACAGACATACCCTTGTAGTTTTAACAGTGCAACCCACATATCTCAAAATGTTTTTTAGAGCAAAATATATTTAATTTAATTTCTGAGCAATTCAACTCATCAAGAGCAAAAAGTGCAACACCACCATTACGATAAAAAGTTCTACAAAAATTACTTATAAGTGTATAACCTCCTATGTGTTTGAAGTCTATTTCAGCCGAATTCATGTGAGTTTCAGTTACACAAATGAAACCAAACTTACAATCTAGAACATGATTTTCAATTTGATTTATAGTAGAACTGTTCAAACTGCATACATTGAGTAGAAATAGGTCTGGATAAAACATTAGTTTGGTGTATGATTTCTTGTTTGGCGTTTCTGAAAAAACCTACTCACGTAAGAACCTTTGGGCCATACACTGGGATTTATAGCCTTACGGAAATTTTGTTCATAAATTGAAATTGAATAAATTGAATGAACTATAAAGGGTTGGGTGTTTAGGTGTAATTAACTCATAGGAGACCTCAGGAAAAATGGGTGCTAGCAATTCGGTGAGTTCGTCAGTTTTTGTCATCGGATCCACTCTTGTGACATGAAGTGAGACATGCTTAGGGACACCTTTAATGCTTGTGTCACCATTGTCGCCAACAACAAAACAGTTTTTGTTGCGTTTGTAGGATACTCTCTGCCAGTCTGAAGAATGGTAATTTAATTTATTTTCTCGTAGAACACCACCGGAAGAAGTCGGAGAGTTCGTGTCAATAGAAGCAGTTTCCGGTGCTAAATGTATTAGTTCATTATATTTTTGCGTTGTTGCACTTTCCAGGGAAGACGTTGATTGTTTTCCATCATTTGCTGTTTTTGGTTTTATTTTGACAACGCTGTTAATTATTTTACTATCATCACCGGATGCTTTGGTCGATTCGTTTATTGTATCTGAATCGTTCTTTTTTGTATCAGAAGTTTTTGAAGCAGTCAGGTCTGTACTGTGATGGGTTTTTGTTCGATTCTCGTTCAACGCGTCCAAGTATTCTTTTAACATTTTCACCTTTTCTTATAATTTTTTAATTATAATATCCTTCTGCTTCCCGACGTAATTGAATATTTGGATATCTATTTTGTTATCCGTACTTAGATCTTCTAAAGCATCAAATAATGCAGTATCAGTATCTGTATCCAGTTTTGCTGATTCTCCCTCACAACACTTTATAGAATCAACTCCATTGATTTTCATACAGCCCGCACTTTTCGCACGTTCACAAATGGAGCATTTAGGCCCATTAGACACATTTTTCTTGCTCTTTTCACATATATTTGTCGGAGCACTCGTTAACACGTCTTTACCAGTCATGTTGCCACACACGAATCCCGTCCCGTCCGTAAGGCCACATATTGGCTTCTCGGACAGGGCCCCCAGTCCCCTGGCCGTTCCCCTATCCGCCACCTGGGGACGCGCCTGATAGGTAGCCCAACCCATGGGATATGTAGCCCAACCCACGGGCTTCACTGAAGTTATTCTTACAAATGCTGTGAGCGAAACAACCGCCGTAATAGATTTTCGATTATTGGAACACACTTGAAGACCGGTTTCGGGCTGTTTTTCCACTCGTCAGTGCAAGGTAGTGTCTATCATCAACATAAAGTCGATGATTTCCAATAATTGAAAATCGAATTCCTTCAGAGTATCATTTCGCGAACAATAAACAACAAGTTTGTCATTGCCCCATCTGCCTGTGAACAAGGTAACCAACCGCTCCTCTGACTATATGTGAAAAGTTTTCTTTCCTATACGAGGAATTGGGCAAATTTCGGATATGCGGTTGGTTACCTCTTTCACAGGCAGATGGGGCGATGACACAACCTGTTGTTTGTTGTCCGCTTCAGCCTAGTTCGAAGAATGATACTCTAAAGGAATTCGATTTTCAATTATCGGAAATCATCGACTTTATGTTGATGATAGAAACTACCTTGCACTGACGAGTGGCCAAGCAGCCCGAAACCGTTCTGCAAGTGTGTTCCATTAATTGAAAATCTATTGCGGCAGTTGTATCGCCAACAGCATATGCAGGAATAACTTCAGTAAAGAATCCTGCACTGACACTCATCGGATATAATCCAATGCCCTTAACCATGGGAATAGTTGTTTTCTAATGGGTGTCAGTCCATTAACCTACATTTTAGGGAGTTGAGACTGGCCTGAACGAATTTTTCCTTTAGGTGATTTGATTTATAGCCAGTCTTCAAGTATGCCCACTGACTATATGTGATAAATTGTGAAGAAAGCTACCTAACTGGTTATATGTGAATACCAGTTTACCTGTCATCAATAACAATGCTCAAGAAATGTAACAAAGTACCGGATACATAATAATTATTATTGATAGGAAGAATGAGTTTTTGTGTTTTATCTCGATTTAATTTGAGCTGATTTGAAATGAATCATATATTTGCTTCAGCTTCATATTTCTTCACTAAGCTGATTGAAAACAAGGTTTCAATTAGTTTGTGACCGTGCCATATATCAATGACAAAAAAATTGTCAGATGATATAAAGTGAAAAATGTTTTTGTGGGTAAAGAACATTTTGGCTTTCTTAAATTCAAATGAAAAATGTCATTGGAATACATTTCAAATAGAATTGGACTCAGTACACCCCCCAGGGGAACTCCTTGAGTTACCTATCCTCCGAAAGTTACTCAAAAGTTTTTGAAAGAAATGGTTTCTTGCCCTTTTTCGATTGCCTCAACTATCATTTCAGATTACCTGTACCTACTCTAGAACAGTTAAATCGAAAACCAAATGGATCTAGATAAAGTAAGTTTATTATTTTGGAAAAATAAGATATTTATTGGAAAAATAAGATACTTTCCCCTATTCATAAGAGCTATTTCGGTGAGTGTGGTTTTTATCAATACTAGTTCATATATATTACGTTGTGTTCTTCTGTGTTCTCAGATCTACAAACTGAAAAGGCAAAAGTAATGTGTGTATGCCTACTGTGAAGTTTCGGACAGATTTTTCATTTTTACATTTGTGTTTGAAAGAAAATCTGTGCATTATCATGATATTTTTTGCGAAGAGTATTCATTCACATTTTCAATTTTTTCTTACATCAATAACTCTTCAGGATTTATTTATCAATTGAGAAGTGAAAATCTGATTTTTTTTAAGTTACTCCTACATTGGAAAAGAGGTGTCTTCGAATAAATTGGTCATCTTGATACTCACAATATGTAAATGTAAGCGGCAAACTACAGCTGTCCTTCTCCTATTAGTTCATTTCAGTACACCTCGATCTATGATTTTTGAGAATCCTTTCAATTGGAGTGAAGATATATTTTCCTTCTTGTAGATAAATTTCCCAAGACTTCCGAAATGAACGAATTGAATTCCATCGTAAATCGCCACTTTCGCACACACACCACTTTCAGGTTGTCTTAAGGATTTTCTTGCAATGATCAAAAACATTGAATATTACTGGAGTTTTGTCCCAACACCAAATCGTTATTTTTAACACCTCGACACGTGTTTCGATCACCAAGTGATCATCTTCAAAGAGGAATATTAAAAGATTAAGAAACCAGTTTTAATCTTCCTCTTTGAAGATGATCACTTGGTGATCGAAACACGTGTCGAGGTGTTAAAAATAACGATTTGATTTGGTGTTGGGAAAAAAACTCCAGTAATATTCATTACTACACCAAAGGTTCCAAACAGTGCATCATAAGATCAAAAACATTCATAGAAAGAAACGCCGCGCCGGTTAGATACGTAGAATTGGAACCTCTGGCGTGAAAATTGTCTATTGAAAACAATTTTTCCACACCAGAAAAAATTCACTGTCTTTCGACTCGCGTTTCGCATTATCAGGAGATTACTAAAACTGTCTACTAGTCATCTCCTGGTGATTACTAACTTGTTTATCGAAATGCGCGTCAAAGGACAGAATATTTGGTCTGATGTGGATTAAGTGTTTTCAATAGATACCCATAATTCCTAGTTTGTTATTACATTGCACTCGTTGTGCACCTCTCTATACCAATAGGAACATTATACCAACTCGATAAAACTTTTAACTTGTTGCAATTATTTCGATAATATATTATCTTATTGTTGATAATCTGTCCAACTTTGTTGAAACTTCGGAATGCGAGGTGTAGCTAGAAAATTACGGGGCTGGTTTTCTGAGAAATGGTGCGATAAAATGTCATATTGTCGAGTCGCCTGACATACCCTCTTCACATCTTAGCTGGTTGGAAAACACCAGCTTGCAATTACGCTCATTTGGACTTGGTAAATCTGCAACAGAGACCTTTTTGTTCTAACAAAAAGTGTATGGGAATAAAATTATGTATTTGGGTTTTTGACTTGTATAAACGTTTGAAGGGCGAGAAGACACGAAGATGATTCACGCACATAAATAAGTCTTTCAACTTTGGAAACGAATGAAAACATCAAGAAAATATTCAATATCATTCATCAAAATCATCAACAGTGGATAAAAAATATTATCACGAGATTCCAGCCCTCTCTGAGAACAAGATGTAGATGCTTCATGAGGATAATGCTCCAGCCCACGCTGCACTGATTGCTCTGTAATTTTTGGCTACGCGTGGAATCTCTGTTTCGGAACATCCAGCGTACTCACCAGATCTAGCTCCGTGTGACTTTTATGTCTCCGAAAGGCAGCATTGAAAGGAACGAGATTGGATACAGTGAAAACTTGAAGGAAAAAGTGACAAAGACATAAACATGCTTTCAAAAACTTTGTCGTGAACAGTAGAAAATTCGAATGGAGAAATGTAGGTATAGTGGATGGTGGTATACTGAAGGGTTTAAGGTGAAAGTTGTGGAGGAAAAAAATAGAAAAAAATAGAGTTATACCAAAAGTCCTGTTATTTTCTTGCCCTACCTCATATTTTTGGAATGAAGCATCACCTCTCATACGCCTCACAAATCCATATCTGCTCGCACGCCTCTGCGGCAACCAGTTTGTATTCGTATTGTGAAATAAATATAATTACCGTACTTCTTATTTCCAATTCAGGTACTTTGGAGACGGACCTCCGATTCCCAAACAACGATCTCCCAAAGTAGCTGCCTATGACTACGTTGTTGAAATAACCAATCCCGAAAACTTGGACGATCTCATGGTGGATCCAGATGAGATGAGGATGCAAGCTCTAGTCATGCGAGAACGCATCCTTGGACCAGCTCATCCCGACACCAGCTACTATATTCGCTACCGGGGAGCCGTGTACGCTGATGCTGGAAAATTCAACAGGTGCATAGAACTGTGGAACTACGCCCTAGATATGCAACAATCTATGCTGGAGAGGTTAAACCCGATGACTCAAAGTAGCTTGTTTAGCTTCACCGAGTTGTTTTCATTTATGATGGGGGAAGAGGGAAAACAAAATACCAGGGGCAGAGTGGTGCCCTCTGTGAATGTGTTGGATATTCTGAATGTTTTCAATAAGGCTGTTAGAGAAATTGAGTTGGGTGAGTATGTACATTGAGAAATTTCCACTCAAAAAATTGCTCGCCTATTTATTTGAAAATTGTATACCTATGCTTTATCTTTGTCAAATTACATTTAGAGTTATTTCATGTACATGGCCTTTGGAGATTAATTATCATTTGTGTATTTCAATTTATAATAATGTTGAATGCCTCTACTACTTTTGTCTCCTCGTCCATATTTGACACGTATCAATTTGATTATCATCCCAACAGCTAAAGTCGCACTGACAGTATTTATGGTCAAATTCTTGGCGGTCTCCTTATAATCATTTTACAGAAGTGTTTTTTGATTGTTTCAGGGTTTGCTTTGCTACTCGAGTATGTTACCACTATTGAAAAAACTACATTCGATTACACTAATTTGACCATATTCATGTAAAAAGGTTTCACATGTAAAATTTAAAGTTTTTCTGTCACAATCACAATATTGTATGTATATCAGAGTTTCCAATCATGAAACGCCTGAAACTGACTGAAAAATGTACAACCATTTTTACATGGAAATTGTCAATCACTGGTCACCCCTTTTTCTTGCTGGTAACGTGCAACACAAATTATAAAAAATCAATCAAATTCAAAATACGTCCGGAAATAGGGAAGATAACCAAGAACTAACTCACGATTATATGTGGTGGGTCTTATCGAAGTCATTTAATATTTTATTATACTTCGAGCCACGTTCTCATAGACCAAATTGGTTTATGGTTGAAGCTAAACTGAACAATTTTTTTTATAATAAAATTGATTTCTGAAACCCGGACAGTTCTCAATAACCTACATTTCATTGCCTTGTGATGCACTGTTTGGAACCTTTGGTGCAGTAATGAATATGACACCAAACTGTTATTTTCACCTCGAAACGTGTTTCAATCACCAAGGGATCATCTTCGAGATGAATCAACATACAATGTTGTCCCTATTTTTACCATAGATACCTCTGCTTAATACAATACAGTAAAAACAAATATGATTTATTTACTTCAAAACAACACTCTGTACATCAAAATTTTGCATTACTGGAAAAAGTTGAAGTACTTCAATGTATTTCATCAGTTCGGACTTCCATTATCTGAAATAATATAAATTGATTTGAAATCTCTGAAAGAATCTGTAATAAATTTAAAAAGATTGACCGAAAAATAACAATTTTTCTTAAACAGAAAATTGAAATTATAAAGAAATACCTAACATACAGACAACAACCCAAAGACGATCGTAGATACTAACAATCGAAACGTCGTGACGAAACTTGGTTTGGAATCTTTTAATTTTCATTTCTTGTTAATAATATTTTTTGGATTTTCAGCTTGTATCAATATTTCAATTTCTTTTTTGGTTGTTGTTTGTATGTTATTTCTTTGTAATTTCAGTTTTTTGTTTAATAAAAATTGTTATTTTTCAGTTAATCTTTTTTAACTTTTTACAGATTCTTTCAGGGATTTCAAATCAATTTATATTATATTAGACAATGGAAGTCCGAACTGATGAACTACACCTCGAAACATTGTCAACCACCTTCAAACAAACGTACTTCAATGTATTCGGCATTACCGCCATCTTATGGGAATCTTACAATTTGGTTACTACCGTTATTCGGAATAGTCCGGATAATATGGCAAGTAATACTACTTGTCGCTTTGCCCCTGCAATATGCTTGTTGCTTGTGGTAGATTATGATCATCAAACTTCTGAAACAAATTATCTGCCGGTTTTCCATTTACTTCTCTTGTTCCGTGCCTCTCACCTGTCCCCAGCATTCTCTCCGTTGATTTGCACAGATACAGACTCCTGCCTATTATCTTTTATATTCGAGCCGTTTTCCAGTTTCTGGTTTGTACTTCCGTAATCCCTCATCCATACTCATTCTTTCAGAACTTACTCTCTCTTATGTTCAATCTTTCACATAATCTGTATTTTGCGATTGTTTTTCTACGTTTCCTGAAACTCCTCCTGCATAAGTGGTGTGATGTTATTGACGTGGTTTGTTCATCTGATAGTACAATGTTCTGCATTGCAACATATTATCAAAGATCGTGAAATTAGTACCTCTGTAGGACTATCAAGATTTCTTGGGTCGATCAATAAACATTTTAATTTAGCTTTCAATGTTTTCACTGGATCCTCTGCGGGTTTGTTACTTTCTTGATCGAACTTTAACCAAAAAAATGCTTTTGACTGTTGATATACAAATGATTTACCGTTGTCTGAGATTATATGTGTTCCGAATCTACCTCAGTTTCAGTTTTACATCCTTAATCGTTATGGTGCGCATTTGGAATATTTCTAGCTATTCAGTATATGTTATAATAAGAATATTCATTTGTTTCGTTGTACCCAAAAAGTCCAAGTGTAGTCTCTTCCACGATCTATTGTTATTGATTATGGCGATAACTCTGCCTTTGGGATATTACTAACATGCACCTGACACGCTTGGCAGCTTCCAATTCTTCTTTGATATGTGAATCGCTAATTTCTTCGTATTTACAAGCCCAATATGCCCTTGGAACGTTACTTGCATGCACCTGACTCGGTTGGCAGCTTCTAATTCTTCTTTGATAAGTGAGTCGCTAATTTCTTCGTATTCACAAACCCAATATGTGAATCTCTTCTAACAATCGTTTGCTCAAATCCTCTGGAATGATAACTCGGTGTCCCCACAACAGAATCTATTGTCTTTCTTCAGTTCCTTCCTCTCTCGTAGGGCGGGAGACCTTGTGCAATGTTCCGGAACCAACCATTTTGAATACCTCAGGATATTTTGGACTTTTTGTGGAATGAACTTCCTGAGAACGTTTTTTCAAATGGATAATCTCCAGCGATTCAAATCCAATGTGAATCACTACTTTACTGCTCTTAGAACGCCTTAAGGATTTTCCTGTAGTGCCTGTGTTTTGTCCTTAAAAAAAAAGAAAAGTGGCGGTTTTCCAAATGTGATTCATGAATTTCTCACATTGAAAATAAATAAGGGTGGCGCAACTTCTTATTTTTGGTAACAAGCATGTATGCCGCCGTTCACTCCTACTTAGAGATTGTGAATTATCTCACCACCTAAGACAATCCCGCTGATCTAGCAGTACCACCACCCTGTTCCAGATGCTGAGAAAACATTTCTCACGGGAACACACATCTTCAAAGCCTCGCATCCAGAGTCAGTCAGATTTCATTCCTCAAAGTAACAACACGTATAATTTTTATATATTTTGTAGTCCTATAATTTTTGATTTTCAAGTTTAATAGCAATGAAAGTATTTTTGAAAAGCAAGTTTAGTGCCGTCGATAGTTAATTGGTGCAGTCTGTAGGATTGTCAAAATTATGCGTATCGTAAGAGTGATTTTCGTTTCAACAATTGGTAATCGAACCTTTGTGGAAAGAACATGTTGGTGTTAGAAGCAGAGCGGCTCCTAGAACTTCAGGAAACCCAGTCAATCGAAGACCTGCAGAAAACTCCATACCAAAGCTGTTTTCGAGAAGAGGAACTTCATCGTCACCTTCTGCAAAAAAGAAATACTTAGTGAAGACAATTTCTGAACCAGGGCAGACTCCTTATAGTGATTAAGAAAGCAATGGCCAAAATCTTACTTTTATTGTGAGTACTCTGATTTTATGTCACTTGAAAATATTTTTCAATCATTGTCTTTAACTGACTCAGACAACTAACTCTATTTCCAACCCAAATCCAAGAACCAATCTAGTTTTTGCAAACCCCTTTTCAAATCGAACTGATTTCATTTCGCAATCAATTTCAATTAATAGTGATAATACATTTTATAACCAAAATTCAGATTTGAATATTTCAAACTATTCAGAAATGGCAAATATTTTCAAACCCGAATATTATGATGATTATGATGAAAAAGGAGATTGGTTCAGATACGTTGACGATGGACTGTACATATAACAAAACAGTGGAATAAGAATAGATCAAATAAAAAAAGAAATTAACGAAATAAATCAAAAACTATGTTTCAGCATTGAGGAAGAACACAACTCAAAACTTAACTACCTGGACATAACCATAGGATATAACCACAACAAAACACAATTTCAAATAGCAATATACAGGAAACCTACATAAACAAGCTCCACCATACCCGCAAGTTCAAACCATCCACCATCACACAAAATGGCTGCCATTCATATATAGAATGTTAAGGACACCACTCAGCAATGGAGCCCGAAACAAAGAATGGAAAGTCATATACCAAATAGCGAACAAAAACGGATACACCCAAAAGACAATAGATAAACTAGAAAACAGAATCAAACAAAAAATACAGAGCAAGGATCAAGCAACCCCAACAGACAAAACAACACAACGATGGACAGCATTTACGTACGTAGGACACCAAACCAAAAAACTGACGAACGTCTTCAAACCACTGAACATCAACATCACATACAAGCCAAACACGAAGATAACACAAAAAATAAACAACTATGAAAAAGAAGACGACAAAGACCAAAATGGGATATACAATATACAATGCTCGGACTGCAACAAATTCTATATCGGCCAAACCAAAAAAAAAACTGATCCAAAGGTACAATGAGCACAAAAAGGCATACATAAATCCAATAGTATATAAATCAAACCTCGCAACACACGCCATACAAAACAAACATAATTTCCCCCCACAAGAGAACATAAAACTCATAAAACAAGTCAACAAGGGAAACCGCATGGACATTTGGGAAAACTTGAACATCCATAAATTTAACAGTCATAAATCACTTATTGACGAACAAGTACAAATCGAAACACAAGACCTAACATTCGATATATTAAACAAAACCATACACATTCCTAGAGAAGATCTGACACAAAGAATAGTACCTGATGCAGTACAAATACAGGCAAATTTACCTAAAATACCTGAGTTGAGACGATGGAACCGTATAAAGAGGCAGACGACAGGATGACAAATTCAGTTTGAGGAGTGCCTAGAAGATGACAGTACGACCAGCTGTCGAAAGCGCT